TGTGGCCCAAAATATCTGCTGCTAATTGAAAATGCTTTTCAATTTTTTTAAATTCTGCATTGATCAATGGCTGCACTTCCTTCTTTGCTTATACTGGAAGATACAATAACTATTTGACTATCCTTTAAAATACTGGAACAATGTTAAGTGCTTTATTGTAATTACACATTCAAAAGGTCTGGTAAATTACACCTTTTACCTAAATTTTTGTGGATTATTCTCTGAGTAAGCCTTTACTTGCTAGCAATTTTTCTGCCAACTGCACTAACTTGAGACTTTGAAAGTTTAACAAACAGTCATTAGTTATTATTTAAAACTGTCTAATACTTAATTTAGGCTGCTCAGGGCCATCGGAAGCTAATTAGAAGTGATGAGGCCATGGGTGAATGGAGGGAGTTTTGAGGGTGCGTGAAGCGTGCCTCGATTTTGGCCACACCCCTTTTTGGCAGTAAAAGTGCCGTTTTCCTTCATTTTCGTGAATTATGGGTTGGGTCAAGATAATTTCAAGCATACTGGCACTTCTGACGACTTCTGATCGCTCCTTAAAGCACTGGAAACTGCTGAAATCATGATCAGGGGGCTAAATAAACAACGCTGACCACACCCATACATTAATTTTTAAAATTACTTAAATAAAAATAAAAATTGGTGCTATAAATGTGGTGAGGCTAAAACCTCACCAGCCTCTGCAGTTCTAACAGCCTTGCTGCTATATATGGTTGTAATATTGGTGGTTTTTATTTTGAACAGCCAATCTGCTGAATTTAATTCTCTGCCAAGTTTTTTGGCTATACGGTAAATGTATAGTTTTCTTCTGGCAAGTGTGATGGGTTGATACCAGTTTGCAAGAATCGCATTATTAGATGTTTCTAATTCATTTTCTACTATTGGTATCAATGGTTGCATTAGGAAAATATGGGAGTACAAAATGTATGCATTGTGCAGCTCAATGTAGCTGTAGTATAGCAGAGAAGCTATATTTAAGTTACTTGTTTTGCACCCAGGAGTACTATATGACTCAATTTTGAAACCAAAAATATAATTAGTTCTAGTTTTTTGTTTCACCATTGTGTTGTACAGCACTTCAGTCGCAATGCAAGAAATCTAAACCAAAACCAAAAAATGAAGAGTACTGATCCATGCTTTGCTTTATTTGTAGATCAAAATATTATGGTATACTTGGTTAAATTTTACAATTGGAGCACTCAATGTTTGTTGTGCATCAACTGAATATTACTGCTGAAATCAGGGCCAAGTTAACTTTGATGCACAATTGCATACTGCAACATCTTTGTATGTATTAACATACATATGCCTAAGACTTACAGTAGTAATTAGCAAATTGGCAATTTAAGGTTAATATTAGTGTAATGTTATGTTCATGTAGCGTATCATTTTATTATATAAGTAATACATGTACTGCACAAACCGACATTAAATAACATACATTGCGTCTTTCATATATGCATGAAAGACTCTATATGAACTGTGGATCATACTAGTAAAAGTTTAGCTATTGAAGTGTTTAACATACACACATCTTTTAACTTGGCCCTGGTTGGTCTCTATATATTGCAATATATTTATACTATTTTTTATTGTAGGTCATTCTGTTTGGTTGATATCTTTAACCCCGTTTACCGTGAAGTATGCTTGGGTGCTCCTATATCTGTCTTCCCTCCTACAATTTCCTTAGATGTGTTGCCAGAAATACTAAAACCATCTTCTCAAATAAAACATAAGAAAGACCGTAATATAGCTGGCGAATATGTTAATATTTCTTGTGGGAGGTACATGTATGTATTTGATAAGCCTCTTTGTGCCAGTAGTGCTACATTAGGTCATTTTATTGATGCTAATGATAGTCAAGATGATCTTACATTAGCCCTAACTACAATGGTCATTCAAGTGCATTTTGTCCCAGCAAAAGAAGTATATCCAAAATCAGTGATAGATGTAGCAGCTGAAGACATTGATCAAGCACTGCTGACTGTTGATCCTAACAATTTTGCTAAGTCCATGAAGCAGTGCCGTACCACTGTGAAACAAACATTCGATAACATTCGAAGCCAACCTTTAAGGACTGTTGAAGTAAATAACAACCACCATTTAGCTGATTGGTTAGAAGTGCTTGTGTCTGACGACACAACTGTTCTATGTGAGCAACAACCCTGTCGAATAAACGTGACATACCATGAAAATTCCAAGCCCGATTTCTGCTTATTACGGCATAATTCACAATGTGGTGTAGTAGTACAAGGCATAGAGGAAGTGCAGCAGCAGATTGAAGCGTCAGAAAATCAGCATCAAGTGGAAGTGTCTGAGGGTGATACACTTTATGGTATTGCTGGGGAATCGAAGCAAGAAGTTTTTGCCAATGCACAACTGATGGGGAATATGATGGCTGTGGCAGGTAAGGTTGCTGAGTCAGCCATGAAGAGTGGTCAACATTTCAAACATATAGTGATTTTTGGTGTGGCTTGCAAATATGACAGCAACGTGGCTTCACTATGTAAAATGATTTTAAACTTCAAGGATAGCAGCTCCAACATAATGAAATATGTGGATGAACATGGTCAACCACAAGTCAGTAGTATTGATAGAATGATTTCATATGCTCTGCATCAATTAGTTAATCATTAGCTAATTATGGTAACAACTAGTTCTCACATGGTTTTTGTTTCTGTGTTTTGTTAAGTTAATTTAGTCAAATACACACTCTGTAAATGCAAGTTCATTTGATATTACACACACACATATACAAATAAAATAATACATTTTCTTTCAAACACTGAAGTGTAGTTTTAGAGCTACAGTGCTTCACCCCTATATACAATGTACATGTATTTGAATCCAGTCAGTACTACCTTGTATTGCTAGATGAGAATATGCTATGGCTTAGATTTGTTACTTTTTAAAAATTTTTTTACTTGGTCTATCTAAAAACTCTCTCATACAATTTAAAAGCCTCCAGGATTGTAGGGTTAGGATTTGGAGTTTTGTGTTTAGTTTTAGAGCTTAGGTCATTATATAACACCGCCCTCGTAGATCTAAGCCCACGGGGCCGTTGAATTATTAGTAACACAGTAGTGTCACTAAGTAGGATTCATCCCATTTCATCATGGCTACCTCAACTTTTGCAGCCTTGATAAGCCGGAATAATGAAATCCTATAAGTACCAGACTTTTTAGAGGACATTATCTTAAACATAGGACTCTAGTGGTACCACTAATGTTACTCTAAACGTTGCCTAGCCAAAAATTGACAAAATGGACTGAAATTTATCTGCATGCCCGTTGCCCACAAAATGACAGTGTCACTCGTTATTTTTGTGTCAATTAATTAAAGTTAGAATTGGTCCATGAGTGGCAATCCACACTCCACAGAATATGACATGTAAAATAGAAAATATAGAATACATGTATACCATATAACCCATCTGTAATTGTATGTAATTTGAGTGTGCCATTTGCTTTGGATCAAATTTAACTTGTAGTCTTGTACATGTGCAACCTAGGGGCTAGTTTTGTTCTAGTACAAAATTTATCTTGATTTTTTGATTCCACTTGCTTAGTGTCCTTGATACCTTGATCACAAGGTGATCACATTCGGAAATGTAACAGTCAAGTATATGGAAGTGATGTCCCCTTGTAGTAGTAGCTCTTAGCCTCTTAACTAAAATCTTATAGTGTATAATTTTTGTTATAGACCACTGGAAGTGAAAATTGATTGCGTACTAATGCATAGGAAGATTATTAGAAATTTTTATGGTTGTAAGGCGTGGTTTAGGATGAAATTAATTCTGGGCGCCATTTTGTAGTGATGGGCGATACCAATAAAATCTGATTCAGTTCGATTCCGAGTACTTTTTCTCTGAGTATCGATGGTATCGAGTACGATTCCGAGTACCTGACTCTACCTGAGGAGGTCAAAGTCCAGAGGTACTTTCAGCCAGTTACTGCTGCTACAATTGACCATGAGCACTAAAAACAGGCTTCATTGTTCACTTCCTCACTTTTTCACCATCTCAAAGACTCAAACAACAATCCAGAAAGACTGAGAAAGTTCAGAGAGCAGCTGGAGAAGCAATATTTATTATTCTTGGTGTTCATTTTTAACAATAAAAATATTTACATTTTAATTTTGTAATTAATTAGTAGTTTATTAACAATTATTGTAGTTAAGTGGGTGTGGTTGTACTCGGAATCGAAATTTTCGGTATTCAAAATGTTTCGATACCAGTTCGATACTGCCTACACAGCCAAGAAATTACATTATGATACTGGGCTGTAAAGTTAACATTAATGTAACTTTAATGATTACAGTCCTGATTCACTCATGATTTAACCCCGGTCTGATACGTTGCTGTATACAAAGAAGATACTTAATGTAATGCTACACTAATGAATCTTCATCAATATGATACAGAGTGTAAGTCCATCATTGATGTAACAGTGCTGTTTACACCAGTGTATCATTCATTTTCGAAAGATGGCTGCCAGTCACATGGAGAGAATCGGGATTGCTTTTTTACTTTTCTAAGGCCTAGAAGCTGGGTCCCGATAAAAGTAGGAGTGGGAGCAGGAGTGGGAGCAGGAGTTTGCCAGATAAAAGTAGGAGAAGTAGGAGTAGGAGTAGGAGTTTGCTAGATAAAAGTAGGAGGAGGAGTAGGAGTTTGCTAGATAAAAGTAGGAGGAAGAGTAGGAGTAGCTAGAAGTTTGCTAGATAAAAGTAGGAGTAGGAGGCTAGGAGCCTACCCTTTCAAAGCCCTCCATTGCAGTCTGACTTCTCGTTTCCTTCAATACGGCGGGGTACTATAGAAGTTTGCTAGACTTTTCAACGATCCAATTTTGAGATTTTACTGACTTATCAGGGGCGTAGACAACTTTTGAAAAGTGACTATCCAATTTTTAGATCAAGACTAATTTATTATGATGTCTTTGAATTCTTCCGAAAAAGTGGGTCTATAGATCTACTAGTGATTATTTCATTGCTGCCGCCAACCAGTCGAGATTTAATATCCTTTCTAAGCCTATAAATTAATGCATAAATTTACTAGTACATGAACAATTTAACATAAAAGAATAAAATTAGGATGGAATAGTATTATTAATGACAGCCTCTATTGCCACTTGATATGTAACATCAAATTTATTTATTATTAAAGAAGCAACTATCTATAAATGAAGAAATACAGTTGGTGGTAAATTTCATTATAACAAATTTTGAGTAGCTAACCTCTGACCAAATTATTGTTTTAGTGAATTTTCCCAACATATATACAGATTTTTTATTTACGTCACAATTTATAGTGTCTGGAAGAATATGCAAATGCAGAGAATGGATACCAAGAAGATTAGCAGCTACAGCACCAACATCCATTTTCAATTATTAATGATTATTAAAGTTAATAGTCATAGCGAGTCACAATGCGTCACTGCAGAATTTTTGCAGCAGCTAACAAGACTGGTATATACGAGGTTCCTGACCCTCTGTTTTCGCAAGGGTCAGGCCATGCCTGACTACATGCTAAAAGCAATTCATGCACATATAAGCATTCTTACTATTATATAGTATTCTCATTACCATGTCATCAAGCTCAATCCATGTATTGTTATCTATTGCTGAATTTACAAATTTATTCTGCTGATGATTCAAAAAACCACTAATGCACTCTCCACTGTATAACTGTCATAACTTCACCTATAGGAATCACATGCATTTTCATCAGTAATTAAAAGTAACTTTTACTTCAATGGACTTCACTGTGCTTCGAATACATTTACTCCTTACATATAGTGACCAATGTTGGGGTTTGTTGACTGGAAAAAATATAAAATCATTTTCCATTAGACTAATTCCCTGTATTTAGTAAGATACATAATAATTAATCATTCCTGTCTAACTTTTCCAAATCTAGATGCTGCAATTATTATTAAAAGTTTATTTCAAAATTTGTACAGAAAGTCTTTGAATATTGCAATAGTGTCAAAAAATTCCATTGCTTTACAAAATTTCAGCACTTTTAGAAAAAAACAGCAAATAAGTGTCGTATATTGGCATACCTATTGTGCGATTGTTCAAATTTGTACACCCAAAAGTGTACAAATTTGTACACTCTACATTAGAGTGAACAAATTTGTACACTTCAGAAGTGTGCAGATTTGTACTGTCAAATAATAGGTGTACAAATTTGTACACTTTATTTTATTAAATATTGGGTAACAGAGTGTACAAATTTGTATAAAATTATATTACATAATTTATGGCTATTTTTGAACACATGTAAGATTTGCTCACAAGTATAGCAATTCATGAATTGAAAGTGTCAAATTTTCACTAATTTTTGCCATTTTTTAGACAGCTTTAGATGATAAAAGTTAAGATATAAAAATAATGTGTTCATGATGATGATTTTTGGATAAAAATATTTTTTCAGAGTTACTGTTAGACCTAGAATTTAATTGTGACACTAATAAATGCACCAAAGATCTGAATTGTTTACGGAAGCAGTATGAAGTATAAATAGGACCCCTTTTGATTACCAAAATCTGACTCAATTACATTTCTAAGTCTAACTTCATCTGTCACCCCAAGTCCATTATATACCTTTTATTTTTCCATAGGACTATCAATGTAATATGTAGATCCTTTGTCATAGTGTAATCCGCCAGTTTATAAACATTAGAATAGACATGAATTGTATCTGGTACAGTACTGCTGATGCAATGTAGGTCTTTTGGTCCAAAAGAGTCTATTTGAAATGGAATAATCCAAGGAGTTTTGTTAAGAAACTGGGAACTCTGTACAGTGAGATTGCCAATGCATTCAAAAAAAAGTTCCATTCCTGATGACAACTCTTTTTACTTGATACAACAAAAACCACTATGGTGGATCACTATGAAACTCCTGTCCACAGTATCCACTTTGGTCACCCTTGTTTGGAAAGAGAGTTTTTACTGAATTGAGCACAGAATGGCTTTACAGAAGCAGGAACAAGGCTCAAAGATGATGGATACCTATCAGTTACACAGTTTCCAAACTCTACACAGATGTTGAAATGGTGCTGGCCTAGCCTCGAGAGCCTGGGGACGAAGCTAATCTGAGCTAATACTGACGGACGGGGCTCCTACTCCTACGTCTTCCTACTTTTATCTAGCAAACTCCTAGCTACTCCACTCTTCCTCCTACTTTTATCTAGCAAACTCCTACTCCTCCTCCTACTTTTATCTAGCAAACTCCTACTCCTACTCCTACTTCTCCTACTTTTATCTGGCAAACTCCTACTCCTACTCCTGCTCCCACTCCTACTTTTATCGGGACCCCTAGAAACTTACTAAGGTAAATAGTAAAGTTCCAGCTTATCCTGACAGTGTAATAGATCAGTAGATGTGAGAGCATAGGCTGCATAAAGATCAGTGTTGAAACCGTAGGACAGTGAATTTGTGGTTCCTTGTCAATTATCATTTGGCCAGTTCTACTGAGAGCAAGTCATTATAGTCAGTAAGCCAGTATTGTTGCTTGAATTAGTCATTATTAGCACCACTAATTTTTTGGATGGTGTCACTGTTGCCTCCTAGTTAATTTGATCAATTCAAGGTACATTATTTAATAGTATTATTATTTATTAGAATGTGACTGAAAACTATTTGTTACGTTAGAATCTTTCAATATCTTTATACTCAGCTATCTATGTTAATAATGAGGCCAATTAACAAGCTCCACCTACATTAATTTAAGGTAAAATTATGTTTAATTAATCATTCTTGATTACGTAGTTATTGATGTATACT